TATATATATATATATATATATATATATATATATATATATATATATATATATATATATATATATATATATATATATATATATATATATATATATATATATATATATAAATTTTAGAAGAGTTTGAATTTATTCTTTATATTAAATGTGTTACGTCAAGTTCGGTCTTAAGTCGGTCCAATTATAAATCTTTATCGGATAACTATCTATATTTACATAAGTGACAATTTTTTTTTGTTTTTATTCGATTTATTACCATTTACTTTATCACGTTTTTTCCGTTCAATCTGATGCTATCTTCAGTCATTTGTCATGATTAACTCTAAATCTAGAATAAAATAAAAGTTGTATTGTTCTTTTTCTTGTTTTTAGAGAATTAAACGCGGTTAAAGATATAAATAATACTTTTATAAAAATCAAACATGAAAATCATGATCAATTAAATGTGTAAAAATGATTTATAATATTAGTAATATAAATTAAAAAATATATAACTTATATTTAAAATGAGAAAACATAGAGGAGACAAATTTATTAAACATATTTTTCTTTGAGACACAAGGAACGGTCATCTGTTGTTTAAATCATAGGAAGTTTGAGAGGGAGAAACAACCTCAAAAACAATATAAGTATTGTTCTCTCTTATTCACACAGGCACTTGAATTGCAGTATCAAGGTCTCTCTCTTTCTCTCCCTTTTGGTATGGCTGGGTAAGTCTCTTCTTTTTGCTTCAGTATCAAGCTTCACTTATTTTTTCCATTTAACATTAGCTGAAGATTACCAAAAATGTCTTACAAATCTTTTCTCTTTATTGCAAATGGGATTTGCTTCTTGAATGGAAAAATCGTTGATTTTTTAAATGGAATGTCACCAATGAAAATTGTTTTTCTATATTTTTCACCAATGAAATACGATTTTTTACTAGTAGAATATAATGCACCTTCAAAATGATTTACTTTGTTTAATATACAATCATGGTTATTATTCTGGATTGAACCGACACTTGTCCCACTGTTGGAGAGGCACAATCCAATCTCTTTACAAAGGTCTAAAAGCATGTAGTTCAAAGTGTGGACCGTTGGACATTTCTCCACATGTCCACTAGAACAGCATGACCCACGTGTCCACAACGTCATCATCCTGTCCTCCGAGAATTACGGGTTCAACTTCTCTACTTTTTCGGGACAGTTGACCAGAGAGGAGACCACTTGCTGGACTCCATACACCTGTAAATCTTGCAGTCTTCATTATTGGGCCTCATCGTGGCCCAACATTGAAGACTTTGGCCCAGCGCTGGGGGCTATGTAAATCCTCTCACTCGAGAGGATCGGGTATCCATTCATTCATTCTAACTCACCTACTTTACTTGCTCTCACTCTGAACCTCACTTTGACATCAGAGTCTTCATTATTGGGCATCGGGTACGATCAGTGGTGTCGTCTGTGGGAACGAGGCTTCTCCGTCTTTCATTCACGTAAGACCAGAGCAGCATCTTCAACCTTCAGGTTGTCACGTCCGACCAAGCTATCAATAATGACCAGAACACTCACTTCACCGATGCCAGCAAGAACAACAATGTTGGCAACAACAACAATGCAGACAACAATAACAATGTTGCCACCCTCGAGCAAGACCCCTGGGATGGGATGGCCGCATCTTCCTCCACCCGCTCGCAACCACGCAACAACGCCCACCATCCTCGACAGAATTATGAGCAGACTGCGTATCAGGAGATCCCCATTCCAGAAAACGCTGATGTCATGCTCAGAGCCCTATTTATGGCAACAACCAGACAAACTACATGATCTTCGCGCAGGATTGGCGCTTGATGATGCTGGAACAGACTCGCCAATTCCCCAGAAAGTACCGAAGACCTGATTCTCAAACTCTTCTTCCCTGACGGAATAAGGACCGCTCCCGATCTCCCTCGCGGAGACACAGATGGGACGATTCTCGAAGCCCTTCTGCCCGTCAAACTGGGCGAGGTTCTGCATTGGAAAGGACCCTACTCGGAGCTGTCAAGAAGCACGATCACACCCCCCGCACAAAGAGCGACGATCCCATGAACGTAAAAGAAATAAGGGCGACAAAGAAAAGAAGTCTAGACTGAGGAATCCCCCCAGTGTCCAAGACCGACACAAACACTTCCGCAACAACCGGTCCCCCTCTCGCTCCCCGGAAAGAAACAATGAATACGACCCTCTCAGTCCACTATCCCAAGCTATCATGGAGGCCCATATTCTTAGGGATGGAGAAGCCTCCCCATCTGAAGGAGTACGTCGACATTCTAACCTCATCGACCACATCAACCACTTTGAGGCGATGCTCCACTCTCACAATGTTGGAGGCCTTATTAAATGTAGGTTGTTCCCCATGATGCTGAGGAAAACATCCATGGACTAGTATAAGAGCCTCCTCTCGGGTCGATCACCTCGTATAAGAGTTTGAAGAATCAATTCATCAGCAACTTCACAATAAATTGTCGACACCCGAAAACCGAAGTTGCCCTCGAGGAAATCGTCCAGAGGAGCCATAAGACCCTCAGAGAGTACATTGATCGGTTCAACCGCGAGGCCATTCAGGTCCCCTGTGCCAATCACATGAAGAGGTACTTTCCCGAGAGGGGACTCCACCCGGGCACTGAGTTCAAAAAGGCTGTCAGCATCGAGCCTTCCAGGTCTTTTGACGCACTCCTCGAAAAATCCCAGGCATATATGGACTAAGAGGAAAAAGAGGTCGCCAACAACGCCCATGATTCGAGGAACTTCGTACCAACTAATGTCTCACAGCATAATGACGCGAGCTCTTCTCGACAAATAAGAGAGCATAGAAGGAAGGAGAAACCTCACGACCTCCGCGAGCACAAAGGACCAGCCAGGAGGTTCATCGAATACACCCCGTTGATCGCTTCCTGTGAGCATATCCTTGCAGAGTGCTCCAATGCCGAGTTCAAGGACGGTGGGGTCAGACGTCCTCAACCCACCCCTACAAAGCTCGGGGCCGACAAAACAAAATATTGTCAATATCACCGGAGCCACGGTCACCTGACCGAAGAATGTGTCCACCTGAAAGATGCCATTGAGACTCTCATCAAGGCAGGGAGACTCGGGCAGTATAAGAGGAATGATGTCCCTCGCTGGGATACCTACGAGGTTAAAGAAATTGAGAAGGATACCCGACCATCCGATGAATCTGGTCCCCTCTAGGTAACCTTTTGCGTCTCAAAGGCCCGAGGACTTCCACATCACTGATAGTCTTGAAGATGATGAGCCTTTGTTCACCCATAGTAGATGGAAGAAGTTCCCCTTTGCCATGATCATATCTGGCGAGGGATTCACTGACATCTCGGTGAATTTAGCGAATAGTAAACTCAATGAGCTGGTGGATGCAGCCCCGATCCAGGACGTAATCTTTGAAAGATTCAAGGGAAAATATGAGCCAATCACCTTCTATCTCGAGGAGCTTCCCGGCGGAGCCCCCAACTCTAATATTCATATGCTGGTGAGGGCAAAAATAGCCACCTTTGATGTCATATACACCCACCTGTTCGGCACTATGCAGCTCGACGATACCCACCTGTCACCATATGTGGGGTCCGACCTACAAGGATTTAACGATTCAACCTCCAAGCTATGGGGCTACGTCGAGCTGTTTGTCACATTCGAGTAAGAAACTGCATCCCAACATGTCAAAGTGTGGTTTCTAGTGATCGATTGCCCGCCTCTCTAAACCTTCATCCTAGGGAGACCAACACTGACCGAGCTGACCACTGTACCCTCCACGGTGCATTTAAATATGAAGTTCTACACCACGAGGGCCCGCGTCGCCACCATCCATGGATATATCTCAGTTATCAGGAGATTTTTCAATGCGGCTTCCAAAGGGAAAAACATGGTCGACACTAGGGCATGACCTACTAAAAGAGAAACCACCTTGACAACAGCAGCTACCTCGATGGTCAAACCTGCTCGAGTTGAAGAACAACAAGCTCCACCAAAGGTCAACTCCATTGACCTCGACACCCACTTTCACAAAGATGAAGTCAAGGCCCCCAATGGCGAACAAGATCCGCTTCGACCCATCCCAGATAGAGACTTCGAGTTCATCCCCCTCGGTAAAGACCCGAGCAAAGGCGTGAAGATCGGTGTTGAACTCCCTGACCTGGCAAGGAAGCAACTCAGAGCCTACTTGAGGGAAAACACTGATCTCTTCGCATATCACTAACTTGTTGTGGATCTAGCCGTTACGGCAGTAGTACAATGTAGGCGTAGTCAGTCTTAAGAAAATTTCCATGGCGATGAGCGACAAACATTGCATTTTCTTCATGATAGGGTCAGGAAATTACTACTACAACGTAATGCCCTTCGGCCAAAAACCGCAGGGGAAACATACCAGTGGATGATGAACAAAGTATCACGTGGTGAGATCAGGTACATGCTCGAGGTATACATGGATGACATGATCATCAAGTCCCGAGTGGAAATCGACCATGCTTCCCACCTCAAAATAGTTTTTGACCAAGCAAGGAGATGTAAGATGAGGTTTAACTCAGAGAAGTGCACCTTCGGGGTCAAGGAGGGAAAATTCCTCGGGTTCTATCTAACCGGACGGGGAATTGAAGCTAACCCCGACAAATCCACGGATTTCTCTGAGATTTCCATTCCTAACTCGAAAAAATCCATACAGGTCTTGAACGACATGCTCACCTCGCTATCACGCTTCGTGGCAAAATCCGCGCAACACACACTTCCATTTTTCAAGCTCTTGCGTAAAGATGCAGCTTTCGAGTAGACCAAGGAATGCGAGAAAGCTCTCCTCCACCTCAAGCGAGCCCTTTCACAATGGATATGGTTGTTGGTTGATTTTTATTACCCTAGTTTTAATGTTGATAAAGGTTTAAAATTGTGATCTTATTGTGATTGCGTCGTGATCCTTGATTTTGAGAAGATTGTATTCAATTAGGTATGATCATATACCTAATTGGCTATAGTTTTCTCAGAATCATGGATCACGACACAATCTCAATACGATCTTTGATATTGCAATTCTGGTTGCGGTATTGAGGTTTTGAATCATGATTGTCATTCATGATCATAAAATCTAAGTCAATTAGGTAATATGTGCCTGAAATTGTGGTTGTGATGCGAGTAAATGGATCAAGATATAAATTCCAGTCATGTCACGCTTGTGTTGCAATCTTTCATATTGAGAAAATTGTAATCAATTACGTATTCGATGTGATCACAAAAAAAAATTTTAAATCGAGGTTGCGTTGCAATTGTGTTGGGATTCATGGTAATGATCTAATTGTAATCAATTAGGTATTTGATACGATCACAAGTTCAACTTATTAAACCAAGGTCACATCATGATTGTGTTATGGTACTTGATACTCATCAAAGTGTAGTCAATTAGGTATCACATGATTGTTATTGCAGTCGTGATGCAGCCATAAAAATCACAGTTTTAAATTGAACTCGTGTTGAGATCCTCGATTTTACAAAGACTGGGGATCAAATGCAACTTAAGTGGTCTCAATTAAGGTTGAAATAGACATCAAAATCTAGACACAAGTCGCAGTTAGGATGTAGTCGTGGCGATATTGAAAACCTTAATGTCGCAACCCAGATCCTCTTGCAATCTTTTTTCAAATTCTAGTAAAGATATTAGAAACTTCAATGTTGGGGCGATAATCACTTCATCACTTGGTGTAGATTGATGTTATGTACAGTTTTTCTAATTTATACTTATCAATAACTTTTGAGAAAAAATTCACTATGATAACTCCTTTGGATTATGAGATTTGCTTCAAGCCAAACTAAATATGTTCTACTTCTACATATCAAAATACTTTTTTATGTACTACTTAGATACTTTGTGTTTTTTTTCTTCATGTTTTTGTAGTTTCTTAGCGATCTTTGTTCTAATTTTAGAAACTAATACTTTTTTCCCTCTTTGATTAATTTTACCATTTGTAGCTTTTTTTTAGTTGAATTGTCCTATCCTTGTAATATTCAAACTCATAAATTTTTTCTAATAACATAGTTTTTGGACCATTTGATTGACAAAGTTTATATTGATTAATGATTCATATTTTTTTATATATTCAGATCATCGTGTTCGTGGTTGGTGGACAAAAGTATCATTGCAAATAAAATAAGGTGTGCATCTAGAGCAACCGAAAGAGTTATATTGGAAAGCAATCCAACCATAGCTTGCCCTAATTGTCAACATGTTATTGACAACAATCATGTATGTATATGTTTTTAGTTTATCTTTTTGTTTTAGATATCGCATTTGTGTGTGTAAGGTTTATTTCATGGAAAGTGTTCAACCGCTACCTTCTTTATATCTAGTTTTGTACTAGAGTTCAACTATTCACTATAATTTTCATACAATTAATTTTCATAAGTCTTTTCTCTACACACTCAAACCACCTAAATCTAATTTATACTGTCATTTTTATTATAGCTGTTAGATACTCTCTATCTATTTTTTCTTCTCCTTATACAAACTTCAAAATCCTTCCCTTTACACCATGTTACCCTAACTTTCTTTCTAATATTCTCATTTATAATTTTATTTCGTCTAGGTTTTTTTATCATACATCCAACTCAACATTCTCATCGGTGGTCTTACAAATATCTCATAAAATTTTCCATTTATTTTTAACGGTACTTTCGTATCGCATAAAACACTTTGAGCCTTCCTCAATTTCAACGAATTTGATGGTTTACATCTTCCTATTATTTCTCCTTCATTGTATACTATGGACCTACGATATTTAAATTGTGCAACATGTGTTATCTTATGATCTCCACCTTTCACCTCTAAACTAAAACTAGAAGCACTTTGTCTTTTGATTTTGATTCTCCTCATGCCATACACTTTTAAGGCTCGTCTCCAAGCTATATATAATGAGAAAGACATTGATTTTTGGTTGATGAAAAACACAATAAAAATTATCAATTTTATTATCGTTTTATCAAATGGTGACGCCATGACTGCTATAGCGGATATACACGGTGGTTTTTGAGCCCAATGCAATGATAAACATCGACTGATATTTCGGGTTTTTTCACTATAATCCGCTATAATAGCACTGCAAAGCGGCCGGTATAGCGAGATTTTTGCTCTGCGCCATCTACAACATTGTTTTGTTATAAGTGATGGGAGAAAGAGAAATCATAATTTCAGTTGATAATCCATATTTTCTTTGTGCATTAGTTTTTTCTAAGATCACATAAGGTCATTCTTGTTATTCGAAAGAATTAGAGCACACTTAGCTTGGTTTTCTTTCACAGGAACTTAATTCATAGGAAGTTTCTTATTGTATCTTCCAATCTTTGTCCACAAAGGTACATGACACCAATTGAATTCACCATCTTAGTACACATTTTCAATACTGATGATGATCTCAAATTCTTGTTACTATGCTACTTGCCATATACGTGGAGTCACATATATGTGTCCTAAAGGTTCATTTTCATTTCTAAGTTTAAGCGAGTAATGAAATTACTTATGTTTCTTGTTCTTTTAAGTCCTAAATTATGACACTTATAAATGATCTGATATTTGAAAACTGTCTGTTGTTAGGTAACACAAGAGTGGCCTGGATTTCCGATAGGTGTTAAATTTGATCCATCTGATCAAGAGATAATATTGCATTTACTTGCAAAAGTTGGCGAAGAAAACTTAAAATCCCACCCTCTCATCGATGAATTTATCCCTACTATTGACATGGACGAGGGTATCTGTTATACTCATCCTCGATATTTACCAGGTAGAAGATACGAGTTTTATTCAAATTTGAATGCTCGATTGTTATTTTGATCGACATACTAAGCTATATGTTTAAAAAATGTAGGTGCTGCACAAGACGGAAGTGCTTCGCACTATTTCCATAGAGCAGTAAAAGCTTATAATTCTGGCAGTCGAAAGCGTAGAAGAATTAACGGTCAAGATGAGTTAAGTTATGTCCGCTGGCACAAGACCGGAAAGACTAAACCTATTTTTTTGAACGGAGTTCATATAGGAAGTAAAAAGATTATGGTTCTCTATTCTACTCAGGAGAGTAAAGATTCGTCTGCGAAAACTAATTGGATTATGCATCAATATCATCTTGGGACAAAAGAGAATGAAAAGCATGGAGAGTATGTTGCATCGAAAATCTTTTTACAGAAGCCAGACCATGTCAAACTGCGGGGCAAAGGTGATCAGGCTGATCGTCAAACTTCTGAAAATGTGACTCCTGAACCTCATTGGATCAAAAAGCAACGCTTAGATATCGATCAAGCACAAGGATCTCATCATACTCGCGAGGTAAAAGATCTTTCCATTTATCACCTGCCACTAGCATTTTCTTATTGTATGCTATTAAAATATCTTATGTGATTAACTTTCTTAGTTTTGATTCGTGACGATAGTTTGTGGAAATATGATAATTTTGTTCTGTTGTTTATCTTCCAAGCCAGACTCCGCTAAACCTTCCTGAGTTAGAAAGTTTGTTATTTGATAGCGGGGATGACAATGATGAGTTTGCGAATATAGATCTGTCGATGTTAGCAACTCCGGTTAATGAAGGGATAGATAACAACATTGACCTGTCACAGTATCTATTAGATTCACAAGAATTTGCAGAAGCATTTCACTCGTTTAAGGATTTGATTCCAAGCAAGTCTTTGAATATGGATGGAGAAAATGGACAACATAATGGACAACATAGTCTTCCTATATATGCTCATCAAGGACAAGACCAATTGAAGAACAATATCCAAGATTACCAAAACCTTGATCTTGACATTGCAAAGAATACCAACAATATCGAAGATTACCAAAATCTTGACCTGGATATTATTGCGAACAACAATACCGATGATAACCAAAATTTTGACCTTGACATTGCAATAAACAACTATATCAAAGATTACCAAAATCTTGACCTTGACAGTGCAAAGAAGAATGATATCAAGGATTACCAAAATCTTGAACTTGACACACCAAGTACCGATTTTCGATTAAGTCAGCAGGTATTCCTATTTTCTCGATGATCATCCATTACTTTACTCATTTTAATTTTGTCATACACCAAAATTTTTCGATTTGTGGTACATTTTATCTTCTTTTTTTTTTATAGGACTTCGGTTCGCAGGATAGCTATATTGCTTGGGATGGTTACAAACCAATCAACTAATACTTTCTTCACTTAAGAAGAAAAGTGAAGCTGTAATCAATAGTTTCTTTTTGTATGATGAAGTTATAGAGTCATAGTATGTTTCATTCAGGTACTCAAATATTAGAATGTGGAACTTGACTTGTCCACATATAAAGATACATGTTGCTTGCTCACTATGAAAGTGACAGATACATTGTTGTGTGTATTATGTGTATATTGGTCCCATGGACAAATGCATTGTCTACTTTAGAGTTTGTTAAAATCATGTGTTGATAGATTCATGAATGTTATAAAAGTGTTCCAGTCTTGCAGGTAATGAAATTGAAACTTGTCTTGCAATAGACAGCTAATTGAATGACCCTAAAAACTTGCTTTCATTTTCAAGGGAAGCATGATAGTGTGTTACTACCTATTGGGAGTATAGGGTACCCTACAAAAGTATAGGCAACCCTTTTCAATCATTCTTAATAAATGCAAGAAGAAAACACTAACTAGCCATGGGCTAGTTTATTAAGTAACAAAATCACCAAAAACTAGTGCTAGTTGTTAGGCAAATATTATTAGAGAACATAACGTCCTATCTTTTTCGGGTAGTTTTATACGCAACTGAAAAAATTAATTTTTTGAAGCAGAGAAGACCACAATAAACAGCAAAATTCTTCTTCAAAATATTTTATACTATTAGATTCTCGTGTTCATAATAACTTATTGGTTATTATGTCTAGAAACATATGGGTGTTGTAGGTGGGGGGCATAGACTTCCTCTATAGAGTGTGTAAGAAACTTGTGGGTTATCTATGATGAGACAATCCAAATCCAATAAATTAGATCTCATGATCTATTATATTAGTTGAATTCTCAATTGGTAACAGAAAATGGCCCAGTTCTTTTATAGTGCTCAAAAGTATGTGCCTTTTGGGTCAAAAATTCATGCTGGCATTGCTGTTCTCCATAGACAAATAGGGACATGAACAACCTAAGTAATCTGGCTCTGACATTGACGAAACACAATTTGTTTTCTACACATTTGGCTTGTTCCTTGTGGAAGAATTAAGTCAATGCAATCATAGGACTTGCTTTTATATGTATGGTGCAAACTAAATCCTTTTTCTTCCCGTGCTTTACTAAAGCTATAGTTTTTAATGTCTACTTCTCACATTTGAGTTTTGTGAAAGAATATGGGATACTCGACAGTAACAAATAGATTAAATACTTCAAGACCATAAAGGACACTTTACATCTCTATTTATTTAAAACTGTTAAGAATCCATTAGTATCAATTAGCATTAATTAGAATCAATTAGTAATAATGATCTCTAATATTATATAAATTGTAATCAATATTCATCTATTGCAAACCGTTCATATTTATATAAATATTTACTATATGTGATTTCATTTGATACACAATTACTTATAAAAACACACTTCTAATATGGTATCAGAAGTTAAGGGAAGTTAAGGGTTTAACCAAGGACTTGAGTTCTAGTGGGAAATGAGCTTCCATTAAGGACGAACTGTTCGGATACTATCCAAATTTGAGTCTTGGTGGAAACAAGGCTTGGTCAGTGAGTCGTTCCTCTAAACCACAAAATAAGATTAGTCGGTTTACTATGTAGATCGGAACTGATTGGCTAAACCCAAAAAAAAAAAGTTAAGGGTTTCACAATCTCTTCTTATGTGCCTTAGAAACCCTGACTCCCACAATAAACATGGCTACGATGCAGGTCTCTGCTCTCCGTCACCATACATTTGATCATTTCCGTACTGCCACCATTAGGTTCACTACTCTCCGGTGAACCCATCGCGGCCACAATCCCGACGCATGCGTTGCACCAGATCTGTTTTCCGATGTATTTTCGCCCCATTTCGCTATTCGTCCCGACCATCATTGTCCTCCTCACTAATAACTGATCATGTTTTCACGCTTTTCAACCATCAACTCTCATGGGAGATTCTGTCACTTTTACCAAAGTTCTACTCATCCAACAAGGATAACTAACAACAACACATGGGTTGGTGTCGTCAAGTTATAGTTTCATGGTCATGGTCTTGAAGATCACTTGACCAAAAATCGAAGGATACTGCCACCGTTCATCTCTCTAAATGGAAGCAAATTATTGTCTCTCTATACACCATGTTATGGTTTTCCACAGTGCCATCTTAACTCGATTTCATACGTAACCAGATATTAACAGGATCTGGTGTTCATGACTATGAATCAGTTAGTGAACAACTGTTACATTTGGCTATATCTCATGCTTTTGGACCAATATCTTTTACATCTCCCACTGAATCGTCTATTTTTTATTCCCACTACCATGGTCGTGGCGTACGAAATGGGGAATGTGGTGATCAACACCATGGTATTCATTGTAACTATTGCAATTGCTACAATCATATTTAAGCTGTATGTCGTACAAAGGCAATGGAACAATAATTTCAATTGAGGATTGGAGTTGTTTCTCAACTGACTGGCACCAAAGATGTTGTTATTTCGATTGTTGATTACAGTGAATTCCTTCAGTTCAAATCGACCTATCAACCATCATCTTCTATCTTCGTTGCTTAGTCTGGTAATCTTGTAGCATTTGTCTCTACATCTTCATACTTTGCTTGGTCTTTGGGTACTCGACTATGGTGCCTATGATCATATGATGGGTAATAAATCTCTTTTGTCACACTTGTCTTATTTTGATTTTTTTCCTTTTGCCACTGCCGCAGATGACTCCAAAATTAAAGTTCAAGGTTTTTGTCAGACATACATACTTCCAAACTTGTCTTTAGATTTTGTGCTCTATATTTCTGGTTTCCCTTTCAATCTAATATTTGTTAACAAACTCACTTGCACCCTTGATTGTTCAATTCTTTTTATTAATAATATTTTTTGTTCAGGATCGACGTACAGGATGGACGATTTGAGTAGGGAGTGAGTCTAGAAGATTATATCATCTATCACTTCTGGTGGCATGTGCTTTTGTCGCATCCCAAAACCTTACACAATGTTTGGGTCACCCTAAACTTAATAAAATATGTCTTTTAGTTCTTAGTTTTTCTAAACTTCCATCATTTGAGTGGCAGACCTATCAGTTAGGCAAACATACTCGCCACACCTGTTGTCAACGAGTAAATAAAAAGTTGTTTGTCATCTTTTACTTTAGTTTATTATGATATTTGGGGGTCCTGGTGGTGTGAAGTCAACTTGAGATTATTATTACTTTGTAACTTTCATCGATGATTTTTCATGATGTACTTGATTATTTTTAATAAAAAAATTGTTAAGATGTTTTCCATATGTTCCAAGAATTTTATGCAGAAACTAAAAATCAGTTTGACACTTTCATTAAATTACGCACTAATAATGCTCGTTGTAACACCTTAATTTTTAGTAATTATATATATATATATATATATATATATATATATATATATATATATATATATATATATATATATATATATATATATATATATATATATATATATATATATATATATATATATATATATATATATATATATATATATATATATATATATATATATTATTTGATGTGTGCTATATGATGGGTTAGTCGGGTTGAATTGGTGAACTGTATAATTAGAGTTAGTTTTGGTGTCATTTAGTAAAATAATTATTTTATTAGTGATAATTATATTGAAATAATAGAAATAAGGTAAATGGGTCTAATAGTGAGAATAGGAAGAGCAAAAGTGGGGGTACGTGTTAGTAAACTCATTAGTTACTAGAATTATTTTGTTAAGGTTTTGATAAAAAGAAGAAAATAGAAGTTAGTAAGAGAATAAGGATTAAAGAGACTAAACTAGAGAAAGGGGAAAAGGAGAAAGAGGAGAAGAAAACTTAAAGAAGAGATTCAAGAGTTCATCAAGAAATCAATGTAAGAATGAATTTTTACTTAATCATTGAGATTGTATGATAATGTATGATAAATAAAAACATGTTTAAGTTGAAATTTCTAATTTTTATGATTTTGATATTGTTAAGTTTTGATGAACAATCTTTAAATATATTAAATAATTGTGTTCTGAGGCGGAGGGAAATTACATATATTGTAGCGTCTTTTTTTGATATATAGATATATTGCTATGGATACTGCTATTTAGAAACTATATATTGATATATATATATTGGTTCGTTGTGATATGTGTATACAGGAGTTAATTTGAGAATAGCAAACTGATAGGTACTATGCGGCAATGTTTTAATGGAAATGAGCCATGTTTTAATAGAAATATTTAGGAGTTAATTTTGAAAATAAAAATTTGATAACATGTAACAAAAAGACATGTACTATAGCGTCATTTATTTTTTTATGATCTCTCTCTCTCTCTATATATATATATATATATATATATATATATATATATATATATATATATATATATATATATATATATATATATATATATATATTTCTTAATATGACATATAATTATACATACTATTTCAATTTGATGTATATGTAGATAGTTATATTGAAGATACGAATTGATAATACTGTAGTTTTAGTTGATTTACGGATAACAATTTGGTAATGTAGTTCAATGTATTTCAAGTTGATAATAATAATCTAATTAGTATAATAATAATAATAATAATAATAATAATAATAATAATAATAATAATAATAATAATAATAATAATAATAATAATAATAATAATAATAATAATAATAATAATAGTTTTAGTATTATTAATGTAATAATTTTTAGGAGTTTTGAGTTAGAGATTAATATTTGGATTATTTAACTCACTAAAGTATTCTCAATTCTAATAGAGTTGTCAATACAATTGATAGAATTGTTAATAGAATTATCAATAAAGTTGTTAGAGTTGTCAATAAAGTTGTCAGAGTTGTTTTGAATTATTATGAGTCATATTTTAATTGTTTTGAGTAATTCTGACATGTTTAGAGTTGTCAGTGTATGATGTCAGTGTGTGCTTTTTTGTTGAAATTTTAAAAATTCATAACTTTTGAACCATAACTCCGTTTGAG